ATACCAAGATTAGTTGCTTCAAAAAGAAAATGTTGATATTTCTGTATACTTGGTAACTTCTTAAAATAAATTCCCAAAATAGTTTTAATATCTAAATATTGAAAACCTCTTCCACCTTCATAACATTGAGCTTTATTCAATCTAGCTGGGCTAGACTTTTTTACCACCTCAACCACATGATCTAGACAATCTACTCTTGTTTTTCTGTAGAGTTTTTTAATCAGGCCAAAACTACCATCACATTTGAATTTGGTATGTCCAGGAATCATGAAATTCAATTCAATACTTTTATAATAACCACTCCATATAAGAAGAAGCATATATTTATCACCTGAAACATCTATTATACATGACCTAGTTTTAAAATAGTTATCTTGGTTATCTCATTGAATTGTTCCTTGGTCAAGATTAACTGTCCATCCTGTAATAGATTCATCTTGTTTACTATGGGTTACTAAAATTTATGAATAGGACTATCCTTTATTTCATCAATGGGACATCTATTGTGTGCATTAACTATAATTTGTTGTTCAATAGCATCAACAACATCTATATAATTTGTAGTTGGGTTTTTAATATTATTTTCTGATTAATCTGTCACTACTTTATACAATCATCATTATCATTTCCTTCTTCCATTTTTATAAAAGAATTGATTGAAAGTTTTTTAATGAAAAATGTAAGGGTAAAAAAATAAATTCGTGTATTAATTTAAAATTAAGTGTATGTTGCCAGAAGACTCCAGATTAGGTAAAAAATAACTGATGATAATAATAATAATAATAATAGCAAAGAAACCCTTGTCAAAGTGTTGTGTATGTGAGTTTTTAATCATTCCTATTTATAACATCAGATGAAAACTCATCATAAACAGCAATTGCCAACACCTGCAATTTTTGCAAGTTTCCTTTTGCTGTCAAATGAAATATTTTGGAATGAGTCATTCCTTGCAATTGAAGAACCTAATCTTTTAAGACATTTATATTCTTTGAAAATTTCCTATTACTGTTGCTAGAGAAATGTCAAAATTTGGAGTGTATCTGTATAGAAG